GATAGATTGTCGCTTCCCGAGGAGTCTGTCCAATCTTGTGTTTCTCCAAAACGCTATAACGCGCTGCGACATTCTATTCTGTCAAAGAAAGTCGACAGTACGATAAAATTCACGTTGAAGGGAAAACGTAAAACAGGCACGAAGGACCCTTGGACCTTTCAGGATCTGCGAAATCCTTACAAAGAATAAAAGAGCTGTAGGACTGTAAAAATGATGCTTGCTTAGAAGGAAAGAAGGAAATTTAAAGAAAACATACGTAGAAGATGCAGGTTTTTTGAGATTTTTCCTACGAACCCTGCTACATGAACAACAGAACAAAGAAAAAACTAAACTACTTTTAATTAACGCAGGTAACGCGAAAATATAAGAAAAAAAAAGAACTACAACGCTTTTGAACAAACGTCGAATTGCACAAGTGTGTAAATTGTATAATTAAATATAATATATATATAATATATATTTTTATAATTTATATAAATAATTATAATTTTATATATATTTATAATTTATATAATTATAATTTTATATATATTATTTATAATTTATATAAATATACTTTTTACAATTCCGAGATTTTCCATCGAGCATGAAAGTCGCGTTTCTGGTTTTAAATTTTACAGCTCTCGAAATCTTGAATGTGATGAATCTCATGATCTCGCGAAAGAGAGTTCTATCATCTCGATTCTGTTTCTTGTTTTGAGAGAGAGAAGGAGGAGGCATCATGAGACAATAAAATCCAATCACCAAAGCCGGAGGATCCTCGATCCTTAAAGGAAGAGCAGCGCGAGATCCCCTTTAACATCTTGAACTCGGTTAGAAGGTGAGCTGCGCGAGAAAAAGGGGTGGCCTTGTATCAATAATTTATTCCCCTAGAAACGATAGTGATTTTTCCAGCAATACTTTTACCGCCGGTTTACTCGACGCATTTCACACACCGCACCTGTTCCCTCCGTTTTAATATTATTCCACTTTTTCTCCTCCAGCCCGCTGCCAACAATGTCGCAATCTCTCTATTCTTTCCTAAATGCACGTCAAACGTAGTTCTTCGTATCTTTCGTGACTTGTTTGGAAGCTAGTCTTAGCTCTTATCGAAATTTATAAATTTCTGATGATTTATGAATCTTAGCAGTTACGTTGGCCAATGTACAATGAGTCGGGAAAATGTTGGCGCGTCTAGTCTTCTTGGAAAACGAATGATCATTAACATTAACGAGATCTGTTTTCGTAAGCAGAAAAACTACGTGCACGGTAACAATTTCCAATAATAATACGAGTGACACAAAAATTGGCAAGTGTATCACTTCAACAGAACACAAAATGATATAAAGACAGGGTTGAAGAAACAAAAACTTTTAACGATTTAAAGACAATGTTGGCGTAATATCGTTCGATAATATTGTTTATAAAAGGATATTTTATTATTTTTCTAACGACATTAAATATATTAACAATTAAAATCTGTTTCCACAATTTACTATGTACGAAAATAACGTGCACGGTAGCAATTTCCAATAATAACACGAGTGATATAAAAATTGGAAAATCTATCGTGTACTTCAACAGAACACGAAATATTTTTTATCATTTAAAGACAGGCCTCGTTGAAGGAATACTTTTAACGATTTAAAGACAATGTTGGCGTCGTTCGATAACACTCGCAGAAGAATACAGTTTTATCATTTTTCTAATAACATTCCGGCACTAAATCTACAAGTGAAATTACAAGTGCGTTAATATTCTCTTCACTCTCGAGTTATTATATTTCTTGTGTTTTGCAACTCATTATTGGAAATTGTATCATATTCTCATAGAAATATCGCCGAAATACGAAAACTTTCTTTACCCACTGCATTCTCGTGGTCGGAAAATTCTACAAACTCGATATGTTTCGAGTCCCTTGATCGATAAATAAAAAAAAACAAAACGATAATCACGTCACTGAGATTAGCGTCAAAATGTCACGACAATCCTTTATCTCTCGATTCTCCAAAATCGACGAAAATTCAAAAGAAATTTGCACGTAAACAGTTCCTCGTCGCGCGATATTAAAAGTCACACACCGTAATACTTTCATTCCCAAACGATCGAAATTACAAGTACAATCGATCGTTGCATGGATTCTGAGCATTTTTCCCGGGAGGATTGTTCACAACGACCAGGCATCCTCCAGCTGACCTGAACGAGACACAAAATGGTAATTTATGATAAAACGATGCAAACGAACGTGGCAGTTAGTGCAGCGGGAACCGTGATGCGTTCCGCTTTAACTCCGTTACGCCAAGATCCTCTCCTCTGACAAGATCACGGGTATATACGCGTGTGGGATACACCATGGGGATGTAATTTATTGCCTAGCGCGCGACGGTAAGTGTTCCAAAGCATCGGTGATACTCTCGCTACTGTGCTTTGAACAGTAACGCGTAGCGTGTCGCAATAGAATCTCGCGACTTCCTTGATGCGTGTTGCGTGGAGAGAGAAACTCGTGTTAGACGATTCATTGCTTCTTAATGAAGTCAATGCTCTCTCTCTCTCTCTCTCTCTCTCTCTCTCTCTTTCATACTGCTGATTGAGAAATAAATTAGGAATAACACGACGCCAGATGTAGGATTTAAATAACTCTATAAATTCAATAGTCGAGTAAAACGATACGACAAACGTTTCTCGTTGATCGATTCATTTTCGTTGCATGCTTGCTCGCCACTCGAACGCTGCAATTTGTCACACCGAAACGGTATGATCTCGTCGCTACTAGAATCTGGACGAACGTTTCACAGAAGGTCGTAAAATCACGCGACGAGAGGGATTCGTGTATCTTCCGTTGGCAGGATGGATCCACGAAGGATTAGAACGTTGGTTCGTCGAGATAACTCTCTATCCTTGGACTTGTTTAATTTCCAAAGCGCAATGAGAACAGTAGGTGTGTCGGGTTATCGATTGTCCAGGGAAAGTTTAGGGTAGCGAGTTTATCCGGCGATCAAATTGTCATATTGCTGGCTAAGCTGCGTCTTTGTTCTCCGCCATCTCCCTTCAGCATCAGCGAAGCTCGAAGAATGATTTTGACCGCGCGAAACCTGCGACTCGATAGTAATATCTCCGCCATTACGCTTGGTTATTCTATTGTGCTGCCTCTTATCTTCACCTCGCACCTAGTAAATCGTCGGTGAGAAAGGAATAATATACCGACAATAGAAATATACTTCAGATAAAAGTTGACGTTGGATAGCAATATTCAAACAGAGAATAGACAAACCTGGCAGAAATAAATGTCTCCTGTTCGATGGTTTATGCACTTTGCCAGGCAAAGAAAAATATTTATCATTCGTCCGGAAATCAAAAATCAGAGTCTTGATAATATTCAACGATTTTAAAAATTAAATGTTGAACTAATGATTGAAAGTGTCTAGTAATTGTCTTCTAACCTAAATCCAGCGAAAACAGATATATTCAGGATATATTCCAAAATTCAAAAACAAAATTCAACGTTTATTTAAAATTTTCACATCAATCAATAAAAAAAAAAAAAAAACAAGATGCACAAACTAACTGTTTGAAACGTAGAAAAAACAAATATCTCTTGCTCGATGATTCAATAGACTCTGCCAAGTAAAAAAGTAAAGAAAAATTCATCCCTTCTCCGAAAATCAAAGATCATAATCTCAATAATATTCATCTTTAACCTCTTGCGCTGGAATGACGTTGCCACGCACGTCGAGAACCTTTTTGTCCCGAAATTGCAACATTTTCTCAGTTCTAAGTATATTTAAATGTAACCCAGGCAAAACAATAATAAATTTATTACTTCTCAGTAATTTCTATCCAGCGATATCATGCCGACGAGCTCAAAAGAAAAAGAGAACGGCGAATTATTGTATACGGTTCGGTCGCTCGTTACGGTCCGCGAACCAGTTTCCCAGCGCAATGGGTTGGAATCCTTTAAAAATCTCACGTGTAACTCGGCGATCGAAAATATCCGACGAGTCGATTCTCCGGTTAATGAAAAGAACGCGGTGTGACGAAGTAACTGTTGGCGAAAGCGTGAAAAACGAACGAACGCCGCGAATCACGACGTCAAATGATAATTCCACGGCCGGTTAACAAGATGGCGGCGGCCCCTGCGTGGCATCATCGGGAGCGAGTATTTTAGTTAAACCGCGGCAGGCAGCGTTTGTCTTTCGCTTTCGGTACGATTTCAACCCAGTAACCGACTTTCCAGTTGGCGGCAACTCCTTCGGGGCTCTCAAGACTGAAAAGTTCCGCCTACGGGGGAAAGGAGGGGAAATAACAGCGGTCCTATCAATCCGTGAAAACATCTTAAGCGCGAGCTCTGCCGGCGAAGAAGAAATATTATCGGAAGTGGAATAACGTTTATCGGGCTCCGTTATTCCCGTTCGAGATTCGAATGGAGTGGCTTTTTTGGATTTTTCTCTCGTCGTTTTTTTTCTTTCTTTCTTTTTTTTTTTTTTTCTTCAGACAAGCTAATAGCCTTTCCGATCTATTGCCCTTCGAGTCTACTTTTGGAAAAGAAGAAAGGTGTGCTCGAAGATACTTTTATTTCAAACGTAGGATCGATTTTATTTCGCTAGAAGGGGAAATGGAAATTTCTAAAAGAGAGATCATGCTCGATACTCACGTAGTATCTGTGATTCAGAGACATCTCTTCGCCTTTGTGATTCCTCTTGCGCCGACTCTTCTCTTCAGTTAGGAAGGCCTACACGCGGAACTTCGGCGAGTGTAACGTTGTCTGTTTTCTTCTCTCCGCTCCCTCGCGCATCCGCTCGCAAGTCTCTCTCTCTCTCTCCCCTTTCTCGAAAATATGGATCACGAAAATATATACGGACTTGGCTACGTTCTCTCGTCCCACCTTCTCCGCTCGTTATCTTCCCTCTAACTCCCCTCTGTCTAATCGATCCGCGTCAGTCTTACGTGTTTATTGTCGAGGTTGCACTTAACGTCTGGTCTCCTCATTATTGTCGTCTTTTTTTTTTTCCTTTTCCTCCTCCTCCCCCCTGGGGAATTCGTGTCGCGTGCGCATCTGGGTCAACTGCTGGGCTGCGGCTCGCTTCTGTCGTTGGCAGTTCGGCTCGGATTCTCCTCTCGGAACCCCTCAGAGGCTCAGGTCCTCCTATGGAAAGCATCCGTGCCGTTTGATAATGAATTCGCGAGCCGATCGGTCGGTCCCGGCCGACCTTCTCGAATCACGAACGAGCCAACGATTCTCCCGGCGCCAATTCAAAAAAGACAGATGGACTATCGGGGTAATTGGAACGAGCCCTCCCCCCCTCCCCCCCCCCCCCCCGCGGAAGAAAGAAAACGAGAAAAAGAGGAAAACAAACACCAGGTCTCCGTGGCTTCTGCGTGGCTTCTGGCCACGACTCGAGCAAGAGTCGTGGGAAATCCGAGGGAATGCACCCGGGGAATGAGCTAGAATTCAGCCAGAGTCGAGGCCATCTGCGACTCGTTCTACACCTACGGATTTCGTACGCCCAGTTAGCGTGCACAGAGCGGAGGAGGGCCGTGGATTACACAACGAAAATTCCGTGGATTCAGAGGAGCCGAAGTTCGAGGGGAAGGATCTACACAAAGCGAAATTAATTTTGCCTCGTCGATCGCTCGAAGAATTCCCGGTTTACGCGAGTTTCCCGGTTGCCGATTCCGCGACGCGAAAACGTGACGTATATTAACCACTTGTGCTGGCAACTGGTTGGCGGACCATAACGAGTGACCGAACCGTACACAATAATTCGTCGCTTTCTTTTTTTCTTTCTAACTGTACGATATCATTGGATAGAAATTATTGATAAGTAATAAATTTATTATTTGTTTTGCCTCGATTATACTTAAATATACTTGAAACTCAAGAAAATATTGCAATTTTGGGATACAAGATTCCCGACGTGCGTGGCACGTCATTCCAGCGCAAGAGGTTAATAAACTTTAATTATATTTATTTTAAACCACGTAGATTAATGAACTTCAATTATATTTATTTTAAACTACGCAGGTTAATAAACTTTAATTATATTTATTTTAAACCACGTAGATAACCACTTACGCTGGCAACTGATTGCGGACCGTAACGAGCGACCGAACCGCGTACAATAATACGTCTTTTTGAAACTCATCGGTACGATATCACTGGATAGAAGTTATTGAGAAGTAATAAATATACTTAACACTAGAACTACCAAGGACTAAAGCATAGAATTTTCATCAGAGATATTAAAGTGAAAAAAAAGAAAAAATAGAAATACAATAGAATACACAAACTTTTATTCGTGTATTTCATAAAAAATCATTTGAACCTCTAAAAATATACTGTTTTACATCTGTGATATATATTAAAAATATAAATTATAATAAAAATTATAAATTAATCATTTTGACCACTTTGGTAGTTCTACTGTTAAAGCTGAGAAAATGTTGCAATTTTGACGATCCTCAACAAGAGTCTTCGAGCGTGTTTGTGTCGCTGTTGCGATTAATCGTCGCTTTCCCTGCTCCTAACCTAACTCAAACCGATTTCATCACGTTTCGCGTGAGGTCAGACTCCAACGGAAGCAAGTGAATTCGAAATTCCGCTCACTCTGCGCTCTGTTTGATTGAAACAAAAAATGCCTGCACGTAATGCACGAGGAACATCTGCTCGATGTCGGCTTCTGAAAACTGGCTTGATCCCGGTGTCTCTCTCCGCGAGCTTCTATCACGCGCTCATGGTTTCTGCCAAGTCGATCCGCATGTGCTGCACGGCCGCGCGAATCTCTGAATTCCAAGGCGGTTCTTCGCGAGCTTGGCAGAAAAAGGAAGAATGAAAAAAATCATTTTCGCCGCGATACTGAACTGGAAGGGAGGGATCTCGCTCCAAAAAAATGTCCGTTAATCCGATTAATTTGAAATAGAATCTTTTTTGCATTTCCTGATAACATTTTGACAGAGGTCTAGAATGTTTTTTTCTTCTTTTTTTAACTGAACTTAATTTTTTCAAATAAACTGTTTTTTTCTGTTTTTAACTAAACTTAATTTTTTTAAATAGACTGTATTTTTTCCTTTTTTTAACTTAACTTAATTTTTTTAAATAGACTGTATTTCTTTCTTTTTTTAACTAAACTTAATTTTTTAAATAAACTGTATTTTTCCTTTTTTAACTAAACTCATTTTTTTTAAATAAACTTAATTTTTTTTATTTTTTTCTAACTAAACTTAATTTCTTTTTAAATAAACTGTATTTCTTCCTTTTTTTAACTAAACTTAATTTTTTTAAATAAACTGTTTTTTTAACTAGACTGAACTTAACTTTTCAAACAAGAATCTAACCTTAAATTTTTAAGAGGTTGACCCAAACCTAACCTAACCTAGTAATAATAGTCCAGCCTAACCCGATGGTATCTGTAGCCGATCTTCTCCGAATTGCAATAGATTAAGAAAAATTTTTTTCGCGATAAAGACGTGGATCTTTCGGGCAAAAAACTGCGCAATTTGCCGAACGAACGTCAACTTTGCGCGACTAATCGCATCTTGCTGGAAAGAACGACTGGTTAGCCAGTTCCTCTGACGAGAGAAAAAATTTTCCTGACCCATCCTTTGAGCCACAGCAACTTTGAGCTTTCTTTTGAACACAGCTACCTTCGTAGATAGTTTCTTTTTTTTTTTTTCTTCTTTTTCTTTTCACGGCGAAGTTTGGCTTTTAGAAGCTTCCAGCGGGAAGGCCTTTATATTCTAATTTCAATGAAAATCTCGGATACCTGATATCTCCCTGCTAATACGTAATTTTCCTCTTTCTCTGTGCACGTGTATGTTTGCCAAGTATCTTATCGACTTCGTTATAGCGCGGAATTATCCAAAAGTTCAATCGGAAGGTTTCAACTTTTTATTACGCTGCTCGAAGCAATTAGAAAACGCCGTGGATTCATTCACGCGTGCAGAAGCTCCGTCAATTTCAAAAAGTGCTGAAACGTCGTTTGGATGTTCAAAGTCTGACACATACATTTCGTCACACGCGTTAATGTAGAAATTAGAGGGAAATAGATCCAAGTGGTGTGTAACTTTTAGGGACGGGCTTGAAACTTCTAGTTTCTAAATTCTCGGAACTTCGTACGATCCCGAAACTCGGGAGGCGATGATTTTATCTTACGAGGGGCGTTTTCTTGTTTCCAAAACTGGAGTTAACAATTCTATATGAATTTTCATTGGTCACAGTTAAACGAAATAAACAAATGAAATTGTAACAATGTTACAGAAATATCCGATCTAGATTCTTGTCTGAGAACACTCGTTGTGGACTTTTTTCCTGTCGACTGAATGTACTGAAAAGTCTTTCAGTTGACGTAGTAAAATATTTTTAAAATAATACTGTTGAAATAGTAGACTATTTTTTTTTCTTTAATAATTTCTTTAGATTTGGATGTTTTGAAATTACGATCGATTGAAAATTAATTGAAAATTGCACGTGCTTAACCACTTGCGCTGGCAACTGATTGCGGACCGTAACGAGTGACCATCTGAGTTTCGGAATCACGAACAAAAATACAAAAGTTTCGAAATTTTCTTGGGTTTCGAAGAGTTTCGAGGCTGTCTTCAGTAATTTTATAATTTTCTAACTCGTCAGCGTTAGACATCGGTTTAATCAGGGATCGATAAGGTTAAGGTTAACTTTTAAATAAATTCCACGTGAAACACACGAGTCGTAGAATTCTTTTTCGTTACAAATCCCAATGACAATAAATAAACAAATGTAAGCCAAAGGCTTTTACTCTTCTGGAACAGGTTTTATTTTTCTGAAGTGACAGATAATTTGTTTGGACGATTAATATTAATAGATAGTTAATAGACCATGATTGTCAATTTAAAAAAAAAAAAGAAGAGAAAAAACCTGTTATATTTCGATCCCTGGTCTTGACCTTTATCGTCCAAAGAAGAGATTGAAGGTAAGACGCAGCGTGTCTCGCAGGGAGGTGGCTAGAAATTCCTACGAGAGCCGATCGAACCGGAAATCGCGGCCCTCGAACGTTCGCGTGCTGTCACGAGCTTATCGCGCGACGAGCAATAACAGCCGGTTGCCAACACGGCGCGCAACGAATAAATAACTCGCACGCGAAACGTCACTTTTATGAACCGGAGCTTTTAGTCCCCGCTGTTAAAAACGTCGCAGTCCATTAGTACTCGCGGCGATACGAACGTCACCGCGGCTCGCTGCGCGTGCAAAAATTCACCGGTCACTTAATAACGTTTTCTCGTTCGAACGTCTCGGCGAATAGACCATGATCGTCTACCGGGTGTTGAGAATTATTCCGCCTGGCGAATGTCTAAAATTTCCACGGAAAACATTAATCGAGAGTCTGGCCAAGCGTGACGCTCTTCTTTTTAGAAAATATTCCACGAAAATATTTTTCTCTACGAAATGTATGTGTACGTGTTTAAGAATTTGTACAAAAAAAGAAAAAAAAAGAAAAATAAGGAGAGAAAAGTCTTGCGTTTGACCGGTAAAATGAAAAGTGAATGAAAATGGTGATCATTCCTTAGTTTTCAGTTTTAAAAAATATTCGTAATATTCCCTCAGTTTTGAGTATATTCAAGTAAAAACAAAGTAGGCAGAACAGATAATAAATTTATTACTTCTCAGTAATTTCTGTCCAGCGATATCATACCGATGAATTGAAAAAGAAAGCGACGAATTATTGTGTACGGTGTTGGTCACTCGTTATGGTTCGTAATCAGTTGCCAGCGCTGTATTGAAAAATGTGATTTTCAAGGAAAAGAGATTCTATACGTTTCTGAATATTACTATACTATTATTATACTATTATACTAATATTATAATATTATAATATTATATAATATTATACTATTATACTACTATAATATTATATAATATTATACTATTATACTATTATAATATTACATAATATTATACTATTATACTATTATAATATTATATAATATTATACTATTATATTATTATTCTGAGAAAATAATTTCAATATATTAATTTCAAGTATATTGAAATATAACCCAGGCAATGTAAATAATAAATTTATTACTTCTTAGTAATTTCTATCCAGTAATGAATTCGAAAAGAAGACGAATTATTGTACACGGGTTTGGTCACTCGTTATGGTCCGCAATCAG